AACCCATTAGTTTTAGTGAAAATTACTACAGTATACCATGGTAACAGTAAAAGAAAATGTTATGATCGAATACTTGTTTTTATACTAACTAGGAATTGAAACCCCCGCGAAATTGCGTGGGTAAAGTACCTCCGATTTTTTTTTTAAAACATTTGTGGCCAATACAACCAAAAATATAATTTACTTTCGAAACACATGCTGAAATGTATGCGAACATAAACCAATAATCATCTCTTCTCTAATGGATTTTAAAGCATGATCATTATCAATTCTCAAGTTGAGGTAACCCAAATCAGATTTATGGAGACTATGTAATGAAAAAAAATTATATAGATTTCATTTCAGGGTTTAGAACGTAATTTAACGTTTCAAAAAATTAATAATTGTTTTTCGACGACGCAACCTGATATATACGATATTTTACTTATTTTTATATTATTTATAATATATTTTTAATAAAAAAATGAATGGTTTTTGGATATAACTTGGTAATTTTAGTATTTTTCGTGGATTTTGAAGTGATTACTGGCTTTTGGAGCATTTTGGGCAAGAAAAGAGTGAAATCAAGTTTTTCAAAGAAGGACAAATCATGAATGTCAGATATATCACCCCAGATGAAGAAGTTTCCACCGTACGATTAATCTCATATTTTACCACGGGACAGAGGAGAATCTCAACTTTACTACCTTCAAGAATACAGTTAGATCTTGAGATATTTTTGATCTAAGGAAATATGTTCGAGTAAGGATCAAATTAAAGACGGTTCAAAATATTCACTTGCGGTCGATCGATCGTCATAGGTAATCGACCGATCGCCAAGTAACTGTTTTGACGGACAGACACGGTGATCGACCGATCACATGAGATGGTCGATCGATCACCACCACATCCGAGAAGATTGGATATTTTCCTTTTTTGGAGATTTTCTCCTAAATCTTTTGGATAAAGCCCTAGCCGACTTAGAGACCTATAAAAGGAGACTCATCTGCCTTAAGAGAAGAGACCCACGCTCACCACCATCAACACTTCAAAGTTTTGGTTTTTCACTAAGTTCTAATGCATTCATCTCTTTACTTGTTTACTTGGCTTTTGGGAGAAGGATTCTCACCTTTTTGTAACACGTGGAGAAGTTTCTCGAACACTTTACTACTATTTTTAATACAATGAGTTCATCTATTGCTTTTGCTTTGATTTACTTCACCATATCTGAGCAGTTCCATTGTTGGTTTCTAAGGAAATCAATTCGAGGGGTTTTCATGGTTTGATAGATAGGATTTATGAACTAGGGTGGCACTTTTGGTATGTTTAGATTACTCTTTCATCTTGATCGTGCTTGGTATATGTTTTAGGGTTTAATCTGCTTGAAACAAATCTTAGATAAAGCATAGAGTTCTAACCATTCCAATCGCTTGTCTGAAAAAGATGTTTGACGACTTTGATTCAAAGATGAGAGTTAGACCCTTAGGATTGAATGAACAATTGAACCTTGCATGCAATTGCATTAGATCTTAGTCTTTGTCGCTGCGAGAGTAGAATGATAAGACTAGTTCGAAATAGTAGCTAGAATCGCGAGAGCCTAACTAGCTTAATTTGTGTTCATGTTCTCGGAGGAAAACCGAATCAATTGCCCCTAGGAATTACCTAAATAATTTTGTAGAAAGTGTTACAAATTATGGTTGTAGATTATTTGTTACAATTAATGACCGATTCTTTCGTAACAATTTATAATTACACTAGRTGAATACCCATGCATATGCACGGGATTTTATTTGTATACATAGTTTTTATATGTTTGATGTTATTAAAATATTAGTTTTTTTTGTTGATAACTCATGATAAATCTTAGGCCTATGGATAGATCCTCTCTCCGAATATGCAAATGGGCCGAAAACAAGGGTCCATATCCATGTGAGTGTCCAAGACAATGTGATTTAGTTTCACGCAGCATGTGGATCGAACCTAGAACATATTGGCGTCCCAATCCCGTTTTCTTACCACTTGACCACAGTGTCCCAGACTATTAAAATATCAGTTGATAATAAAAAGTTTTGAAACTTTTTTTTTATTGATAAAGATTTGCTGAAAGTGATTTACCAATTCGTCTTTCTTTGATAGATGATTTTTCTTTCATGTTTTAGCTCCTTACCAATCTCCCAAACTAATAGATGATTCTGCCACGGAAAAAAAGACAAACTAATATTAAAGTGACACCAAGATATAAAAAAACATTGAGGAATGGAGTAGAAAACCTTGACTACCTCAAAAAGTATTTGGTATAATAAACGTGATCATGTGGGTGTATAAAGAGTTACGTAAAAATAGTGTTTGTGAGTTAAAAGACAATAAGGTAGAATAAAAAATAATAGTGCAAAGTTCTCTGTTTCCATCTCAAACGAATTGAGAGTGAAGGAAGAGAAGAGGAAGAAAGAAAGAGTAATTGTCGTTGGGATGGGGAATTAATACAAAGTTGACTTGATCACAATTCAAATTTATAACAGTATATAGTTTGTTAGGTTGTTATAATGTTGACTTTACTTGTACATAGAGCTAGATTTGACTAAATAATTAACACTTGTATATAAATATACACATGTACATTAAGAATAGAGCTGTACATGTGTCTAATCCATATGAGCTGCGGACAAATATGGTCTTGACCCATCTAGACAGAAGACAAAACCATTTGGACATGGGTCGTCCAACTTATATATTAACTTTTATATTTTTTTATTTGATTTACGATTAATTTTTCGCATATTTTTAAATTACTATTTTTTTATTCTTAATTAAAAGTAAATAAATAGTTTAAATATGTTAATACACAACAATAGAGAAACTTACCAA